TACCTCCAGTGTCACTTCTGGGGTCCCAAGAGGCAAGAGTAGAGGGTTTTGGCAGCAGTAGAAGCTCTGTGAGAGACTACCATAAGGGCACTTAGAGACCAGAAGCTGACATGTTAGAATCACATGGTAGGCACAGTCAGGATCCCTCACCGATTTGCAGGTCAGGAACATAAGGCCAGGAGTAGACTGTCCAGGTCACAGTCCATCATGCTGCGCTACAAACACATGCCAGAACAGACATTTCTCCTCCCCACTGTAGATTCCCCACTCGACTCTTCACCCATCTGTTAAATGGCCTGTGGCAGGGCACAATTACAAATAATGTCACATACCGGGCAAAAATACAGGCAGTATTCCAGGCAGGTCTGGATGTTCTCAGCATTCCTAGCTCTGTGGGTCAGTTCGCTCCAAATGAAACACAAGCAATATTCACTTCTTTAGATAATACCCTTAAAGAAGTATACTAAGTAAAACAGACCTAGCTGTTATAGAAGGCCTGACAAGGACTTGTTTTAGCAAGCTATTTGAATTTATCAGACATGTAGACTAATTTCTGGTAATTTTACATGGGATGAAGTTGCAGAAAATGGGGATTTTAAATTGGATGACAGCAGATTTTATACTGTATAAAAGAATAGGTCATGTACATGGTTAAGATGGAACAAAAGACTAACATGCAGATTTATTAAATTAATGGACTTGTTAGCAATATGTTGCCAGATTAGCCAAGTGTAGAGTAACACAATTTATTCCACAAATGTGTTTGGGTACAATGTCTCCCCCCCCCCCCAGAGTAAAAAGAATACCGTATAATAATGCCTTTCTTATATGGAAATTAACTTATATAATGTTTTTAACCTTATTTCGTTTTTTATGCAATACTGTAGATTCTTATCTCTTTAAAAGAGCTATGAACAAAACATCTTCTACAAGCAATGAAGTAGTTTAAAAAACCCAACCCTAAAGCATTTGTTTTTTGCTCTCCCTTCCTACACGATGGATGTTAATTTAAAATACATCACAACCGCTAACACTAGCATGACAGTATTTAGAGAAACATGATTTCTGCTAAGGACACCAAAGAGAACTTTCGCATAAATGTGGAGAATACAGTTTTACTTGTTAAATACTTTCTTGCCCATCCTAGTGCAAACTATCAAAGTTCGAAGGACATTTTTTTCCTGAAAAGTTCCACACATTTATGTTAAAATTCCACAAAAAACAAAGACGCTGTTCTACTACTGAAGCTATAGTTCTACAAGCATAAGATAACATGAAGGAACTATTTCATTTGATCAAATCATTATTTAGACCAGTACTTGGTACAGAAAAAGTTTCAACATTTTATGGTAATTCTAAACTTAAATTTAATTACACGTGCATAGAGGACAGCAACGCTTTCATTCATAAACCAGTCGGAGAGCACTTCAATCTCTCTGGTCACTCGATTATAGACCTAAAAGTCGCACTATTACAGCAAAAAGACTTCAAAAACAGACTCCAAAGAGAGACTGCTGAATTGGAATTAATTTGAAAACTGGATACAATTAACTTAGGCTTGAATAAAGACTGGGAGTGGATGGTCATTACACAAAGTAAAACTATTTCCCCATGTTTATTCCCCCCTTACCCCCCACTGTTCCTCAGACGTTCTTGTCAACTGCTGGAAATGGCCCACCTTGATTATCACTACAAAAGTTTTCTCCCCCCCCCCCCGCCACTCTCCTGCTGGTATTAGCTCATCTTAAGTGATCACTCTCCTTACAGTGTGTATGATAACACCCATTGTTTCATGTTCTCTGTGTATATAAATCTCCCCACTGTATTTTCCACTGCATGCATCTGATGAAGTGAGCTGTAGCTCACGAAAGCTTATGCTCAAATAAATTGGTTGGTCTCTAAGGTGCCACAAGTACTCCTTTTCTTTTTGCGAATACAGACTAACACGGCTGCTACTCTGACACCAGCAATGCTTTGTTTCTTGTATCATTCCCACAAAAGCTTTATTTCTTGCATCATTGTTTATGCTTTGCTTCTCACAGCAATTTAAAATTCTGCCACATAGCTGTGTGTGTAAAATGTATAGCTAAATGAGACAAAAATAAAACCGAACCTTGTATTGTTAAAGCAGTGTTACAGAATGAGAATAAAAAGGTTACTGGGTTTCAACAGTTAATATATATTGCTTTGTAAACTTTTAACTTACATTCTCTGTCATCTGGGATCCCTAAGTGTACAAATTATAAACCAAGAACTAACACTTGACATCCATCCAGTGCTTAATTTGTGCCAGGGTTGAGCCCTGATACCTGCGGGTTTGGCAAGTCAGTTTCCGGTCCCAGCACAGGCAGCAGGAGGCTCATGCTGGCAGCAGAGCAACCTTTCTGCACTGGGGCTGCAGCCGATTCACGCACAGGCTCCAATTTCCACCCCATCCCCCATGTTGAGCCTGTCCAGCATTCAGTGGGTGCAGCTGTGGTTAAATCAATGCAAGCTGAGCTCCTGTATCCTGGGCTGAGAGTCCTTTGGGGCCAGGGATGGCACCCTTCAGCACTGCTTCTGCCAGTGCCCCCTTGGCTTCCTGGGGGGCTTCTGTGAGGAGGCTGCTGCCCCCTGGGGGCCCAGGAGGGGCAGAGACTCCCAAGTACTGGCAGTGAGGAGAGAGGTGAGGTGTCAGGGACTGGGGAGGTGACCATGCAGCCAGGGTGCAGTGTGGGACAGGGGCAGTAGGGCACCGGGACATGAGTGAGGCTCCAGCAGGCAGCCCCAGTGCCATGGGCAGGACCCTGCTGGGGGAGGCACAGCAGGCACACAGAGAAGGGCATACAGAGAAGGGCATACAACATGCACCAACCGGGGAGGCAGCTCTGTTCTCTGGCTGGGGGCGGGAGGTGCTAACCCCACCATGGTGCCCGCAATCCCACCTGTTGCAGACCCAGGCAACAGCCAGGCTCAGTACGAGGGCGCTCCCCAGCCCACCCCCCACAGGGAACCTGCACCAGGAGGAGGTGAGAGCAGGGCCCAGTTCTGGACCCCCTTGCACAAGAGATGGGGCGCTCTTCCCCACAAGGGATTCCAGCTGGATAAATGCCCCGATCCAGGCCAAGAGTGAAGCGATCTGGGTTCAGTTGGGGACGATCACAGCCCCTTTGTATGGGAGCGATGGGTGGGATGGAAAATTAACACACATGCTGGCATTGAGAGAGCAATGGCGATGGAGGTGGTTGTGGGGGGCATGGTGCTGCTCTCCAGTGTCCCCTGACCAATTTGGAAACTAAAGCACCAGCCTCCCTGGGACAATTGTACAGGGCATAGGCATATGTTTGGGGTGGGTGTTCAGGACAGGGTGTAGGTGGGGGGTGCATGGGAGATAGGCGGGGCTAGGGGTGCATGCACTGTGTGCGGGATGGGGGATTGCGTGGAGGATAGGCAGGGTTGGGTGTATGGGATAGTGGGTGCATCTGTGGTTAATTTGTGCCAGGGCTACTTCTTCCATCACAAATTAAGCACCAGAGCAGACGAAACCTATAGAAATTGTAGTAACTATGAGTAAGAGCGATTTTATGCGGAGCCATAGTTCAGTCATTATTGTTGGGGCTCATTTGATTTCTTGTACTTGTAACCTGTCAGAGCACAATTCTCTTTGTCCTGTTCTGCCATCCTCCAGCAAAGGGAGTGACTCAATGGTACCTTTTAACTCCGTAATGAAGTGCTTTACAGTACTGTATCAGGACAAAATTCTATAACACTTAGAAAAGAGTTTCTGGTTGGTAGAAGCTAGTGACAGGAATGGTTCTATTTTAGTGGCCTCTCTTTGAGCTCTTTGCTTGTCAGTGCATATTCACATGCTTTGTGCACTGGTTTCTTCCCAGGCTCCTACGTAAACCAAAGACATTGTGTGCTTTAGGGAATGTGCTCTCTGAAGTGGTCAAAGAGTTCATTACTTTAAGTGTACATTCATTCTAGCATTGTAGTTCAGTCCTGAGCACATTACAGTCACAAAGGTCAATTGCCATTTTAATTAAACTGCTGGTGCCTGCCTGAGCAATTTTCATTAGTGAGGAACTTTCTATAGCTATCTAGCCAGGTACTGTGAAATGTTGCAGCATTAAACCAACTGTTCTAGTGGGTAACAGGTACAAGTAGTAAGAACGTTGATTTGCTGCTACTATCCATAAAAGTTATGTTTTATTCCTTCCTGGCTGGATAAATTAGAAAAGAATGGTTTCATACATGTTACCAGATGATTAGCAGAATGCAACAGCTTTCTTCAAATGTCAGCTACTACATTTAACATATGGGCACAGTAAGTTTCATGAAGATCACTGAGCAGAACAGGTTTCAGGATTCTATTCCATGCTTTTCTCATATAAAAGTGGCATTATTAGTAACAAAGACACTAGCCAGACAGAATGGTTTCTCACCTCTATAAAATGCTGAGAACCACCATGTTAAAAACTTTACTAGTCACATTTTCTTCCTAAAGATGGTCCAAAATTAGAAAAGCTCAAGTCCAAACCTTCCTTAATTTTTGTGGGAATTGGAGTCAAATATCTAGACCCAAATCTTCTTGTGTGGTTTTGAGTCCAAGAACCGAAGGACCCTACTTTCCAGCTCTTGAAAGACTTTATATGCAGCAGAATTTATGCTGCCTTTCCATACCAAGCTTCTTCACTCTTGTAACAGGCCGAGATGCTTTTCTGAAGAATTTCTTGCATGGTTCAATAGCTGCATTCCAGATTGAGTAAAAAACAAAAGTATCCAGAATCCTACAATACTCCTGCTGGATACTGCCCGTACCATGTTACTATACGTAACTCTTGAGCTGCAACATAGCTTCAAGAAGGAGATGTGTAATTTAGCAAAACAAAGATGTGCATTCTAATACAAGTGGTCTGTTTGGCAATGACTTTTTAATAGTTATACATGGATTGAGCCTTTAATTCCTTTGCAATTTCACACATAACTTACAGTACCATCAAATTGAAACAAAGTCCTACCTGAACCGGGTCTTGTGTCAGTCTCATGGGCCCAATTTGCACCTCTGTAGTCGAAGCCTGCTAAATGAGAGAAATGCAAAAGATGTTTTCAGTTTCAGATCACATTAACAGATAGGATTTTGCAAGAAAGATCAAACAGAACAATAAAAATGTAATTCTATAAAATATTCTGAAGGGAAGAAAAGCACACGACTAACAGTCTTTCAAAAATTGTTTTATGGGTTTGCTTAAATAAGTGAATTTCTTTTTAGAATGCTTATTTGAAAGCTGTGGGTTTAAGGCTGTTTTTTTGAACCATGGCCCATAGAATTTCCAGGAATATGCATCACTGCTATGCCTGGCAGAGTACAATCAGGAAACATTCGTATTAATTTGTTATGATAAGCGCCAACACAATAAAACTGACAACATTTATGGCTGGTCAGTTGCTATATTACAAAGAAGTTGGACTGTTGCTTTGGACGCATTCCTTGTGCAGTTTGATGCAACTTAATATACTTTTCCTTTATATTTATGATTTGTTTCCCTTGAGATCTTCTTAAAATTCACAGAGTTATAGAATATTGTCACACAGACTAAACAATGCACAGGCCCTCCCACACCAACATCTAACTGCAATGGAAAGTCAGAATGCCCTCAAGCTACTTCTAATCAATGGGCACTTTATTTAAAATTGTCACTTCTCAGAGAGTGTAAATCTCCACTCTCCTGTTCAGTGACTACCCTGACTGCCTGTTCAAGGTAAGCTAAAGAAATTGCTCCATGAGTCAGATATAAAATGAAATCCTAATTCCAGGCAGGCAGGAGTGCAAGGGCCTTTATTTGTGACTCAGGAACCCAGGAAGCAGTTTTATATTGCTGCAGCACTCAGTAAGGGTGTCTTTTTGTTCTTAAAGCTGATATCTTCCAAAGGATTATACCTGAACATTAAATGTGTATAATTATAGTGTTCTGTTTTCTCTTCCTTAAAGAATATGATCCCTATTAAGTATTAACACAGTGTTACCTGCACGTGAGACACAGTATAATTACGGAAAGTTATGACTGACATGTTTGGCTTTCATGCATCACTAAGCCTTGATTCTTCTCAGTTCAACACACGTCAAAGGGAGTTCGTACCATAGGCAGTACTTCAAGATACTAAACTCCAAAGAACCTATCACTGTTTTCTAATATATAAGGTACAAACGCTGTAACTAAGAGTTCCTTTTCTCACATAAAATATTGAAAGCTACATTGCTTATTTGATCTACTGCCATAAGCAAAGAGAAGTTACATTTGTGACAGGATCCCCCCTGAGGTGCAGCCTGGGACTGTGGGACCACTGGGACCCCTGAATTCTCTCCAGCCTGGGCTGTCTCTCACAATGCCTTGCTAGTGACCAGCAGCAAACCCCTCCAGGCGCTGTGATCACTCAGCACAACAGCTTGTGGAGCCCCACACCCAGCTATATTGCTCCCAAAGCCACTGATGAATCACACAGAGAAAGGCACCAGCCCAGTCCTGTCCCTCCCCGCAGGTTTCCAGCACTGTACCCCAGGAATATACTGTCTTGCACTGCTCAAGATGAGCAGTGCAGATTTATTAATTGGTTCGCCACTTCAACAATGGAAAATGGACATACACCAGCCTTTGCGAAACCTAAGCAGTTTCACCCCACACTTCAGACAAATTCACTGGGAAAGATAAACAGTTAAACAGATTTATTGACTATAAAAGGTAGATTTTAAGTGATAGGCAAAAAGTCAGAGTTAGTTACCAATAGAAAAAAAATATAAGCACGCAGTCTAAACTCTCAACCCTATTAGACTGGGCAACATCTAGACTAAGTTTTTCTCACCCCACTGGATGTTGCAGTCCTTAATATACAGGTTTGTTCCTTAACCCTGGGACAATCTCCTCTGTTGGAGTCTTGCCTTCTTCTCGGTGTCTCAGGGCTTGTCTACACTGACACTTTACAGCGCTACAACTTTCTCGCTCAGGGGTGTGAAAAAAACCACAACCCTGAGCACAGCAAGTTTCAGCACAGTAAAGTGCCAGTGTAGACAGTGCACCAGTGCTGGGAGCTATTCCCCTCCTAGCGATTCGCCTCCCAGCGCTGGTGCCAGGACCAGTACCCGCGGCAGCGCTTTAACGTTGCTAGTGAAGACATGCCCTTAGTTGCTTGCAGCATAGGTGGGGGCAGGAGAAGGCCCCACATGGCCCCCCTGTGTTCAGTTTTATACCCTCAGTCCACGTGCTTGGAAAACACAAGTCCAGGCATGTCTGGGGGGCATTGCTGGTCTCCAGGCAAGGTTAAGCAATTCCCCTGGTATGGCCTCATGCAGGTGAGTCATTCAATTGTAGTTCCCTTGTTGGACAATGGCTGTTGATGGGTTTGACACCATGCCCAGGCATTGGTTACTTTCCTTGCTGTTGCCTCTGGGGAGCGAATATCTGGCTGATCCCCCAACTTACATCATGTTTTAGTGACCGTAATTCTCATAACTTCACATGCATTAATGATATACATCTATGGATAGAGAAATGACTTTTAGCAGATCATAACCTTTCCCCTGATACATATAAAGCATGCCTTGTAAGGTAATATCACAATTATATACAGATGAGGAATATGTATGGGGGGTTACAGGGTGCTCCCCCAAGGTACAGAATGTCATAACATTGTATGCGTTAGGTTATCAGAATGGAAATGAAAATTAATAATTAAAGGTTATCTGTGAAATTATGAGCACATAATGAGGCTACTTACAGAGGGATAGCTTTTAAGGAGATCTTGTACTGAAAGTCAATGGTGATGTTATGTGGCAACGAAACAGTTGTTCAGACAATCTCCTGAGATTTATCTGAACAAACTAAATATTTAAAAAACTAAATATATAAAAGAAATTAAATTGTACATGAAGATTTGTGACAACTAGAGCACACCACAGAGGCATACTAATGATCAAACCTGAGTTCTCCTTCCAAAGCCTCCTAACTACAGTGTCCCAGTGACAGATGGCACAGACCCTTTGGAGTTCCCCAAAATGGTTCTTGTGGTAATCATACACATTTTATGTAATAAAGAGAAACCGCATTGGCCTCAACAGTGCAACGAGAGGACTAAAGGGGGAGCTAGGAGTCAAAAGAGCTCTTCTGTCAATTCCAGATTTTAAAAGACAGTGAGATCCCTTTGGAACCTGATAGACAAAAGGCAGCTACACTTCATTACTAATCATGGGGTCTATAAAAATAGGGCAGATTCTAGGGGTAGGGGAACTGATCTCAATTTCTCCAAACAGTCAGGGTGTCAGCTCAAGAAACTCTTTAAAAAATCAAGCCCATACACTGCAAAGCGCTGTCTAAGCTAACATTTGTCCAAAAAAGTTTCACTTAACACCAGTTTTGCTCCATCTCTGTTAGCATAAGCAACCACTACTATTTTAAGCACTATATGTGAATTAGATCTGCTCTGAGCAGGATTAGATCATTCAGAGTTTATAATGCATGTGGTAGCTAGCAGTCCATCGATATTAGGGCTCTTAGCTTGATTTACCCCAGGGGAAACTATTAGTAGTTGTGGGATTGTTTTGAAATGTTTCCCTAGTACAGACAGGGCATATGTTATTTGTTTGCATGTACTTTGGTTTATTGATACAGCCAACTCAGAGGCACCAGAAAGAGGCCTTTGAGTCACAGTTCTTTTGTTGATATCCAAACCAATGAGAGTGGCAAACTGATTGATCACCACACAGATCTACGTTTCTGATTCAATTGTTTTGTCTTGGACAAAACAAGGTAGGGTGTACTCAGTGATATATAATACAAAAAACTTGGAAAACAGAAGTAGTTCATCAGCAGAGTTAATTCCCTGATGCAGGGTATTAACTGGCAGATCCTTTGACCTCTGAGAGTTCCTGATTTTTGTTTTCATGCTTCTGGCTCTATTCTGCACAGCTGAAGCTGGAGCTGTGAAGCTGCTATGCCAGCTCTGACAGCACAGGTAGCTCAGGAGAAGCATACCACAAGCAACTGCCAGTGTGAAGGCAGTTTTCTGTGATTTACAAATACAGATCCCAGTCCTGTAACTGGCTTTCATTCAAGGCCCCAATGAAATCAATGCAGCTCTGTGCAGACTGAGGAGTCTGCCTATGTGGAGTCAATTGAATTGAGGCCACAGTTAAAAGAACTTTCCAAGTGAGTCTTTTGTTGTTGTTAAGCTTTCAAATTCTGATTCTTATTCATTCTTGCAAGAGTTCAGAAAGTAAAGCTGTGTTTATACTTTATTAGTTTTACAAAAACAGCAGAACTTACATTTTCAGGACAATTTTTTTATGGTGAAAACTGCTATTTGCAGTAAAAAAACCCAACCCACCACTTTGTGTGGCTCAAACTATTAGAAGCATGATCACATGATACAACTTTCATGTGAAAAAGCGTCTCTTGCACAGGTATTAATGCACAGCAACACTCATACAGGTGTGCCTACACAAAGATACACGCACAGAAGAGAAGGCTGGGTTGAGACTCACTGAAAATCAGCATTCTGATGGACTCGCCTTAATTTTTTTTTAAAATACCCTAATCTCCAGCAATGTCTGCCAGATACGTTACAGTTAAAGCACTTGATTGTGGAACCAGTTTAGAGGTCTGGAATGCTCTAAAGAGTGCCAAACAAAATAGTTTATACAGTGAATACCGGACTGTATCTAATATTAACCAAACTAATAAAAATCTTTGATGGGCAATCTCTTCATTAAATGGCTCATGCTGCTGAAGAACTATAAGACCCCCTGCCATAGTTATGCTTCTATATTTGAATACACAGATCCTCTAGCAGCAGTACCCTGCTCAGATAGTACAACAATGGGTGTGATAGAAGAACCTAGTTACATATTGCAGCCACGTAAGACATTGAGAATTGAACTACCTGGCATTCATGGACTATTCAGAAATTTCTCTCTCAAAATTCTATGTAAACTCATGCTGTCTGCTACAGACTCTCTCTCTCGGACATCTCCTTGTGGATGTCTAGCCATCAGCTCAACTCAATATGGCTAAAACAGAGCTCTTAATCT